CTTTTGGTGGTTTCCATATTCCATCCTCTTCTTCATCCCAATCATAGGGCTAATCAGCAGGGAAAAACAAATAATTGAGTAAAATGTATTCTCTTTATTTCATGTATTTGCCAAGAGTAGCACACAGACAAACAGAATTACTAGTGTTTCAAGCATGTTTAAGGCAACAAAAGAAAAATGTGCATGTAAGCACCTAGGTCATATATAATAAAAAATAAATTAAAGATGAAACAAGAGAAGAACACATTAAATAAAACAAAGCTCAGTCAAATGCGTAAGATAAGTTATTACAGAAAAGAACGAGCTCCAGTAAATCAACTAACCTTTTTTGCTTTTGGATCTGGTATTTCTCGTGGAATAGAATCATAACCCTGCAATATGATACATACATAAAATTGAATGATGAATATCATTGATCAACTTCAGGAAAGCCACTAAATTCTGTTAAGTACAATACCTCAGGTTTGACTTCATTTGGATCATCTATATATTCTCGATCATCCCAGTCTTCAGGCTGTCATAAAAGTTTGGGATATAAGAATAGTGTTTGTACAAACTAATACATGTACACACACACACACACACACATGCACGTCAATTGAAAGAAAATGGAAGCTACAATTTTAAATTATATGAAAGTATTAAATAAATAATTATAATTATAATTAATAATTGACATAAATATTTAAATGTTTAATAGATAATACAGGCTCTGAAAATACTGTGGAAAAAAAGAAAATCAAAGATTACGGCCCTAAATTAGATTCATTAAGAAGTGGAAGAATTTATCAGCCAAAGATAACCTTTTTGGCATTCACAGCTTTAATCTTGCGAGGAGGAAGGATATCCCAGTCTGTGTACATGCTTCCAGAATCTCTTTCTCGACCATCAATCAGTACACTATATGTTGCATCAGGACGAAGAATAAATGTATAAAAATGGGTTAACTTGTCTGTTTCACATTGCAGATCCTTCTTGATGGGGTAATTTTGGCCTTGATAGGAAAGAATAACATGAAGTTTCTTCGTCTGTGAACCACATATATCAGGTCCAAACATCAAACTGCACCCAAACAAAAGTTTCAAAAAAATAAAAGATAGAGTAGTACTGTGGGAATAAATGTCTAGGTACCCAACTCGATGGTTGGAGCTTTCTCCAGAGTTCAAAAGTTCCATGGCAGGTTTAAAATACAAACAAGTGTCCAAAGCAGAAAGTGCAAGGCTAAAATAAATGGAAAATCTAGATCAATTTGTACTAACATGTCTGTATGCCAGAAAGGATAGCAACATTTCATAATCTGAACCAAGAGAAAATCAGAACAGCATAAAATTGAACTTCAATTTTCTACCAAGGACACAATCACACCAGACGTCGAATAAACAATATATAGTTTATTTCCTATGTTTCTAAAACATTGAAGATATTCATGGATTGTCTATGGACAAAAAGATTTTTGATTGAAGACATAAAGAGAAAATCATGCTTTCATATCATATAGAACTTGGCAAAAATTTTACATAGTTCTTACACTGTCCATCCAATTTCATCAGAAGGAAAAAGTGAAGCAAGAAGTGCTAAGAGTTTGCTGTGTTTGACCATGACATTATAAGCCCTTGTTTGAGCCCCATTTTGGAGGGGAAAACGCATTTTTGTATAGTTTATTGATAAGAAATGTGTGGTTAAAAAATAAAGAAAATTTTTGGATTTGCGTGTAATATTATTTTATTGAAGAATGTACGGTTGAAATGATGAAAAACACTGTAGAATAATGCATTTTCCCCACAGAATGGACCTCAAACAAGGGCTAAATTTGACATGCAAGACAAATAAGTATATTCAAAATCGTTGAAGGCTTTTCATTAAAAAAAAAAAAAAAAAAAA